GTTTTACAATGACTGCAAAAGCTTGTCATAATTAAGAGCCAATCAGCAGAGGATGCCTTAATGTGTGAAAACAGTCAGAAGCAGCCGCTGTGTTCCACATGTAGCTTCCACTATGCTGGGACAGAGGTGTGTGTGTGTATATATACACAAATGCACACACACACACAACAATGTTCTTATATTGGTCTATTTGACCAGAAATATTCATTTTTGGTTACATTTTTATTTATCATTTATTCATTCATTTTTATTTTAAATGAAAGCTTATAATATTATTTAGCAAACCTCATTTGGTGCATTCCTAGTGAATGTACCAAAAATGGACAAAAAATGGCCTTAGAACAATGCTGTGCCAGAATAAATTAGTGTGTGTGTGTGTGTTTCAATGATGCATTTAGTCATCAACAAAAGCTGTGCCTGTAAACATGCTGAGTAGGGTTTGACAGCTATTTTCAGCTATTTTTCTGTTTCTGTTTTCTTTGGCCATATCTCACACCACAGAGAACACTCCTTGTAGTAGAGATCAGATACTGGACACCAAGTGGGAGCCCAGTCCCTCCCTCTGGGCCCGTCCTCTGGCCGCTGCCGGCCGCTGCTGGCCTCTGTCCGAGCGGACGGAGCCGGGCCGGGCAGAGAGGACGGCCAGACCGGGTGGACATGCTGTCCCGGGCCCTGAGAGCTGGAACAGGACAGTCAGAGCAGGTGTGCGGCCGGGGGGAGGGGCCTATCGACTCCTCCTGTCTGCTGCCAGGCCATTGGTCGCACCCCCCTCGCTCCCTCCTCCCACTGTCCCCTCCCCCTCCCAGGGAAGGAAACCCAACCACAGCTCCTCTCCTCTCCCTGCCTGCCCTCTCTGCTGCCTTTGAGTCGCCCACTTTATGTAATACAGAGGGAAGCAAGGAGCTCCTCTCTTTGTTAGCAAGGAGTATGAAGACGGCAGTATATCAAACAAACGGCACTCATTATCAGTGTGCAAAACGCCAAATAATTTCTGTAGTGTTGTAGAGCAGAGCCTGGCAGTAATGATATTAATGGAGAGGATATTAAAGCAACCATCTTTATCCAGATGCTACTTAGACCATGTGTTTGATTCGGTTTTAATTACCTTGATACTGTAAAAAACAATTATCCCCAGCTCTACCAGCACAACTACAAAATTCAGGATAAACCTGACAGCAAAAAATAAGAATAATAAGAACTTGCAGGGTGGAAAATAGACTTGGCTGTTGGTTTGACTGGCAAATGGAGGATCCTGTTAGAGGACAGGGGGCCCACACATCCAGGGGATCTGCCTCAGCCACAGGCTGCAGCACAGAGCTCCACGACACAGGAAACAAGAAGCCTCATGCAGCTCCACAGAGGTGGGAGGCTCTGGACATGAGCAGGAGCATCTGACTGTACATTTCTACCTTCTGTTCATTCGCCTATGACTCCAAAAGCCACATTAAGGCACTTTGTATTCATCTGTAGGAGCTTGAGGAGAGCCTCTGAAACAGTTAGCTGAGCTGAACATGCAGAAAGTTTGGGGAGTTTCAGAGGCAAACTGAAGTCCCTCGTTTTGCTCAGCTTTATAAACGACATGGCGGTAGCTCCAAATCTTCAAGTTTACAATAATCACTCTTTGTTTTCTCTCCTGCTGACATGAGGAATTGAAAGCTCCTTGTTGTTATTCAGATTGGGAGTTTATTTGTGCTGGGGCTCTAGGTTCAACTCATATGGACGGTGTGCATTTGGCCAATAAAGGGACTTCTGATTACAGCTGTCATCCCTAGCCTTGGATCTAGGTTTCATGCATGAGTTGCCATGGCGATAGAGTCTGGTGAAAAGTGGAGCCCCAGTAAGAAGCCCCGGCAGAACCTGGAGGAGCCTGTAAAGCTGTGGTCCTGCTGCACAGAGCAGCCCCCCCGGCAGCATTAAGGCCGACAGCCACCAGCACAGCGCTCACCCCCCCCCCGCGGGACACATGTTGCTCCTCTTTCATCTTGATCTCCGGCGCCTATTTCCCCTCTGCTTTCCTCGGATCGGCAGCGATGAGAACTCTGCTCCAAAGCTCAACTAAAGCCTGGGAAGGGATTCAGGACTACAGGGAAACGATTCTTTTAAGCTTTCAGCTCCTACCATTTGGAATCCCGAGGCGGTTGTCAAGGAAACGGGGATGTTTACTGGTCCTTCACGTTTCCCTCTGATCAGAAATCCCCTAAAAACTCTTTGTTGAATGATGCCCTGATCTTCACTCGGGGAAGTTAAGGCAGCAGATCCAGTGTTTCAAGCCCTGCCGGCAGTACCAGCGGCTTCACACACCTCAGCCCTATTTTCTATCCACATTTCATTTTCTAATCAAATAATAATGTGAACAACCAAAGCAGGTCCTTCCGCCATTTTTAATGAGCAGTGTTTCCCAGCAGCTTCCAAAAAACCCACACAAATGACAACAACCCATCAAAAACAGCCTATTTTTGCCAGGAAAATCATTCTAATCTGCTGCTGTGGTCCAAACTAGTCTGTGAGATGGTCCAGCCCTCGTGTTTTAGCAGTCTGCTGGACGGTCAGTAGCAGCAGCGGTCTATTTGTGGCTCCCAGCACAGTAAGTGTAACCATAGTGATTCTAGGAGCGGACAGCAGAGTCCATCACATCCTTTTAGGAGCGAATACCCTGTTTAAAGAACTAAAAAGATGTGTACAGGGAGGGTGTTACTGGGATTGACCAGGGCCAGGGTGCAAGGAGAGAGCTGATGGATGGATTTAGGTCAGGCCTCCTTATGCAAGGATGCAAACTGCTGCTGTTCGACCCCCCCACAAAACAACAAACAAAACCTTTTTGAATGGAAGCTGTGTGGAACTAATAACGCCCCCCCCCCCCATAATTTTTTTCAAATCAAGTCCAACAACAAAATGAAAAAAAATATATTAGAATTATCTAAAATGTTTCCATGATTATTTTAATTATTTCAAAGCTAAATCCTTTTTTCTATGCTGTCTACAAACACACTTGCATGCTATTATGGAGAGAAGACATTTCAATAATGGAATAAATTTAATAAAAGAAATTCAAAAACTTTAGAAAAAACATTATGGTGTCCAGGTTCCTGCCCCCCTTTCACCATGAAGCGTTGAACTAACTATGGAGGCCTGTCCATTAAAACCTCCAGCTACAGGCTTGTTAAGAAGCTAAAGAACATTACCAAATATTTCATTCAGAGTGGTTTACTTCTTATAAAAATTTAGGTGAACATCAGGGGGAGTACGGACCACAACAAGCAGGCTGGAGGCACACAAGCCAGCTAAAAAAGGCTGATTGCTTTTTGTTTCAGAAAATATTTTTATTTATTTAGTTTATTTACTGTGGCATGATTAAAATTACTCTGAGAATAATTGGAGTCACGTATCCACACAAAGTGAAAATTTCCCACTACAAACAAATTCAAAATAAATTAAAATTCGACAAGAATTATATTGAATCCTTCTAAAAAAAATATGTAAATTAATAAGTATTGTGTTTTACAACAAATGCATGAAATATTTCTATAAAAACTCAGGAAAATCACACAAACTATGGATTTCTGCCCCTAAATGTTTGCAGGCAGGATAACGTCATATACATTTCTAAACCCTCCACAGAAATGGAAATCTCCTCTGAACTGGGCATGTGTAGGCCTGTGTGTGAGGGTTAAACTGGAGCTTTCTGCTCTCTGCACCCGCAGTAGTTTTCTATACATTTTCCTGGTTTGTTTCCTCTAAAGCGGACACACACACACACACAACCCCCCTTCTCTAACATATTCACACCACCATTTACACACCCCGTCCAGTCCGACACACATTCCAACCAACTTCCCCATGAATACTAGGCCTGTCTGGGGAATTTAAACCTCCTCTATTTCTGTTTCTATTTCCCCAAACGGAGCCCAGCAGCTCCATGTGCGTCTCGGGTTCAGGGGTCAGGGCTCCTGCAGCTCACGGCGAAGGGCCCTGGCTGGTGCCCAGACCAGGAGAGGGAACTGAGCCCTCACTCCTCCAGAAAGCCACGGCCCATCCCCCATCAGGGTTAGCTCCCCCAGCAGAGCCACACTCCTCCGGGGCCATCTCACAGCAAACCAGCCCCCAGCTTTCCTCCATAGCCTGTATTAGCCTACACCACTAGACTCTGAGCCACAAAAAGCCCCTGAGAAAAGGTTCAATCCATGCACATTTTATTTCTTGAATAAAGATTTGTAAAGGTCTCTCGTCGTGCCCTGTGCGGGCCTGCGGACTCGACATTTGGGACAACATTTGTCTGAGGAGGCTTCTGGCGGCTGAGTGCCTGAACGGCCATTTTGAGAGAGGCTCCCAGAATTGTGAAATGAGATTTTAACCACTTCCTGGTTGTCGACGTCCACCAGGGAGCTACACACGCACGTTTCGGGCCTGTTGTTCCGCTTAAAGGTGCGTGGGGCTCGGTGCGGAGCCGGGACACGAACAGGGACGCCGCGCGAGAGTCCGCGCGAGGCTTCGCCATTTTGCCTGCCGTGGAGTGACTCCTGAGCGAGGCCACGCCACGTGTTGTGGAGCCCCGCAGGGGCTCCCACCCCCAGTGGCCCCAACAAGCAAACCCTCTCAGTAATTAAGGCTCTCCGGGGCTACCGGGGAGGCTCGTCGTGGCACCGTGGCCACGCAGAGAGGCGGGGGGACGCCGCTGCCATGTTGTTTCCGGAGCAGCCGGGTCCTCGGCCGGCCTCGCTGCCTGACGCCGTGCACACACACACACACACACACACACAGCAGGGCTGCCTCACACAGGCCCCCACGTTTGTGTTGTTCGCCCCGGAAGCGAACAAAAGCACCACACACACACACCGAAGCTCCGCGCAGCCCCACTCAGAACGAGCCCGGCCGGGAGCAGCCGTGCAGCGGGCAGCCCGCCGCCTGTAGCCCGCCGCACGGCTGCTCCCCGCCCCGGCAGCGCGGAGCCGGGCTGGGCTCATCCCCAATCTGTGCCAAAGGTTACAGCCTTCACTGGTGGGCTAGCAGCGGATTCCTGCCAACAGGCTGCGGCGCCGTGCGCGGCAGGGCAGCGGCAAGAGCGCCCGGTCCCCAGAATAGTTTCGGGCCGGGGAATAAGGGCTGTGTTCCGCCAGCAGCCCCCTGGCTGCCGGGGGGAGGCCAGCCACGTAGGCCGCCTTCGCCTTTCGGCCGGCATCCCCAGCCGGCCCGCCAGCAGGAAATGTCCCCCACTGGGGGGTTTTAAGCGAGGAACAACGGAGCTGCAGCATTAACGCAAACCCCAGCCACACGTCCGTGGGAAACCACCTAGATAGTCACCAACCAAACACCGGCCTCCACCAACATTTATTCGCCACAGCACATGTTTGCACAGATCAAAAGCAGGCCCGGGCTAGGGGGGCTGGGAGCGGGTCTTGGAGCCACCGGCCCCGCTCAGCTCCCAGCAATGGCGGCCAGCCCAGCCCCAGAGGACGTGTCAGCGGGCCCTCACTGCACCAGAGCCCGGGCGGGGGGCCAGAAAGGACGGCCTGTGCAGGGGAGGGGGGAGTACCTTTGCTTTTTGGGGACGGAGTGCTCCACCTCAATACGCTTCCCGTGGAGCTCCACTTTACCTGGAAGAGAGCAGAACAGAGCGGGGGTGAGCACTGGGCCGCTGCGTGCACGGCTACCGGCCAGGGACCCACTGGGCCCGGGGTCGCCCCTTCCCCCACAGCCTCCCTCTCCACCAGCCTGAGGGGAAGGGCCCACGCCAGCCTGGCTTCCAGCCCGCCGTAGCCCACGTTGCCCCCCAGACACGGTGCGTGTCCCCCCTCTCGGTTTGGGTGTAAACACTCCGTTAACCTGTTCGGAGCCCACAGCGTGTCCGTGGAGCTCCGTGGGGAAGCTATGGCGACCCTGTCTCTTCGCCGTAGAAAATCATGGACAAGGGGCCACAGAGGACCGGGGGAGCCGGGCAGAGGACCGGGGGAGGGGGGCGGGCAGAGGAGCCCCGCGGCCGCCCCTGGCTCCGGAGCAGAGGTCGCACCGGGCCGGTTCTGGTGGGTACACGGGCTAAGATCTCTCTGTCTTTGTCACCGTGGACTGTTGGCTGGGGGGGAGGGGAGGCTGCTCTGTAACGGGACTGAGCTACTACTCAGTCCACGCTGCGTGAGATGCTACATTTTACTCACTATTCAAAAGACACGCAATTCCGATCTCTCGGTAGCTAAATAACAGCTTTACGCGATCTACAGTGACCGCCGGTTGTAGTGTGCACGTCCCCCGCCCCCCCACCCCCGCAAAAGTTGAATGACTCCCACGGGCGTGTAGCCTGCACATCACAATCAGGTAAATAAGAGCGTGGGTCTCCGGTCCGCCACGCAGCCGGGGGCCAGCAGGCAGCCGGGACCGGTGGCCAAATCTAGAGCCCGGGGGGGGGGGGGGTCTGAGGGGCCAGCTACCACCTGAACTCACCGGAGAACGTCTCGATGGCCTTCATTGCCCACTGGTCGTCCGGACAGTCCACGAACGCGTAGCCGTTCTTCATGAGGAACTGTCCGGAGTAGGGGATCTTGTGCTCGTCAAAGGTCTTCTCCAGGTCCTCGGCGGTCACGCACTCGCCCAGATTCCCGATGTACAGCTTGTGCATGGTGGCCGTGCGTGTTGTACAATCCCAAAGCGGGGAGGCAAAAAGAAATCAATCTCCAAATGAAAGAAAAAAAGTTTGGCTTTCTCAGGTGGAGGCGTTCCGCAGGCTTCGGCCACACTTTCCACGCACACACACACACACACGCACGCACGCACACAGAGCGGGTCCGCGCAGTACGGCGACAGCAGAAATCTGAATGAAAGTTCTCAGTGCCGACGACCAGCAGGAGCGGGGCGGGCGGGCGGAGCGCGGGGCCGGGATCGGAGCGCGGGGCCGGGGGGCCGCGGGAGGGTCGCGGCGCGGGGAGCCGGTGGTGGCGGTGGAGGACGTGGCTGGCGGGGGCTGTGCGGCTGGCTCCCAGCGTCAGGAGTGGGAAGTATGGCGGTGGCGGATCGGGAGAGCCGCTTTCAGCCTGCTGCCGGCAGAGGGGAGACGCCGCCCCTCCGCCGACTCTAATTCACGTTTTTTCCTTTTTTGTTTGCTGCGAGGAAACCACGTGGTGTGTGTGGAGTGGGTTGGAGGCGGAAGGGGAGGGCCAACCTTCCACATACCCCAGTGCGCGCCTGCTGTGCACGCCGGGCTTTGGACCTCCACGCAAATGGAGGTCGCGCGTGCTCTGCGGTGCCGGTGCGGCCGTGGGCCCCCACGCAGCTCCATCCAGGTGCACGCGCGCCTGAGGGGCCCCTGCCCGCGCAGATGGACCTGAGACAGCCCAGCCACGCAGGCCTGGTCCGGGAGCAGCCACCTCTGAGCTGCCGCCCCCCCCCCCACCGCTCTGGATCCCCCTCAGGGTCCCAGACCCGAACCGGCCCGCTGCCCGGCGCCCCACCGGGCTCCGGCAGCCGCCCTCTGCGTGGACACGGCCCCTGTCCCCACATGCCCAGGGCTGAGGCTGGCCCGTGGCCTCAGGGTCCAGATCGGCCCCCTAATGTGACAGAAAGCGGTCCGGACCGGGTCCAGAGTCTCCGGGCCGGCCGCAGGGGACACGCAGGGCTGAGAGGTGGTGGGCAGTGGACACGAGTGGACAACACAAAGCAAAGGAGAACACGTTTGGGTTCGGAGCAGGAGGCCGTTTGGGCCGGGAGCAGATTCTCTGTCCCCGCTGCGCGTAACGGCGCTCCGTGGCTGTAACCGGTCCACGGAGCGGGTCGCCCGGTGGAAATGTCTCGTCTACTTTCCACGAGCATATCTGGCGTGTGTGCTGCCATAATGAACACGCCCGAGGTTACGTGGCACTCCTCCCCCAGTTAGAAAATGGCTTCTTTTCACAAAATGGATCCAATCCATACGAGCGCCTCAAACACACTCATTATGGGGCACTCGTGTGTGTGTAAAGAAAAACATATATATACAAATATATGTATATTTATATATATGTATGTTGCATATTAAGAATATTAATTAGTAAGGTGGGGTCATGTTTAATTGCATAATTATTGTATGGGGCATAACTTGAATAGACATGTTTGAAAGAATGACACATTCAGGTGCAGTCATCTAGTAGTTTTATTTTCCAACACAGCCCAAAGTGGACAAAGAAAACAGAGCAGCGTGTAATCATTTAGCTCCATCTCCTATAGTCAAAACCACCATAAGTCAGCTGCTCGGGAGCAGTTTGCTCCTCTTTGCTCAGCAGCAGAACCAGTAGACTTCTGGCCTTTTCCTTTTTATTGAAGAATAAACACATGCAGGTCAAAGGCAGCGGTCATCTGAGGCCAGCGGCACATGTATGCAGATGGAAGGAGACCTCCAGTGTTCAGTGGAAGTCTCCCTGGATTAAAGCTAATACACACATCAGTGTGTGTGTGTGTGTGTGCAGCATGAACACACACACATACCTGTACGAGCAGATACATTCTATATACATGTAAACATAATCACAAAACCATCTGAGCTCACTTTTTAGGTTAAATATCCAATAATGCCAGTCTGATGCTACTGTGGCGTGTGCTGGCCACACACTGTGTGTACTGAGGGGGGGTCACTGGTCATGTGTAGACCGTAGCATGATGTGGAGCTCATTTCACTGTTCCCTAATGCTTTTCCCATAGAGAAGCAGGGAACCTGCAGCCTGTGCTCTTCGCTCTTTTAACATCACAGACATGGAGGGGACAAAGAATGGGCTTTGTGGCTCTAACATATGACTACTCTGAAATGAGCTGTTTGTTTCATTGTTTGTCTCAAATAGAAATGTTCCAAATGTAAATTGGGTTTAGATGTTATTCTGTCCTCACACAGAGACAAAAGGCAGGACACCTCCATCAGGACTCCATCCATCCATCCGGGGGGAACTGGAGCCTATCCCAGTGGTCAACAGGCAAGAGGCGGTGTCACCCTGGACAGTCCGCCAGTCCATCGCAGGGCAACACACAAGACATACAAGGACCAACAACCACTCACACTCACATTCACTCCTTAGGGCAATTTCCCCAAACTCCAATCAGCCTAACATGCAGGTTTTTGGACTGTGGGAGGAAGCCGGAGAACCCGGAGAGAACCCACGCAGACACAGGAGAACAGAAAGGTCCTGGTTCACCTGGGATTCGAACCCAGAACCCTCTTGCTGGGAGGCGACAGTGCTAACCACCACACCACCGTGCCGCCCCCATCAGGACTCGGACAACAGTTTTCTGTGAGTGATGTTAACTCTTGTCTCCTCACTTTAATGCTCAGATCACTGTTACAGGTTCTGTTCAAATCTCTGAAGTCACTTTGTGGGTTAACAAAGATGTGACCAGCTAAAAAAAAATGCTGTTGACTCATTAAAGGCTCATTTGAGGGCTGCAGTGCTGACTTTGAAACAGCCAGTGAACAGCGTGGAGGGGACGGCCGCTCCTCCATCCTCCAGAAGCTGCCCCCCAGGGCTCTGTGTGGCTGTGCTCTCCTGGAGGTTAGTTACTTCTTTTCTTCACACTTCAGCGGCTTTATTTCTGTTCAAACGAGACGGTGATGCTTTCTACTCACCTGGTCTTCTGCTCAGTTTTCTTTGAGGTCACATGTTGATGGAAATAAAGTCCAACTTACTTAATAAAGGCCTGAACAGAACTGTTTGGGAGCATATAAAAACACAGACTGCCCATTTTATGTGTAGGAGAAAGACTTTGAAAGTGTAAGATACTGCAAAGCCTTCCAGTCAAAGGCCACAAACCTCCAGACGTGGCTCTTATTGTCTTTGAGACACAGAAAAGGGATTTTGATGTCACAGAGATGACACCAACAGGCCTCTTCCTGGGAATTAAATCCACACACACACCTTAGATTAAGAATTCATTTCTTTTAGTGGCATTTGGGCTGCACAGCCTCCAGACCAACCTCTGTTTAGATCTCCTCTCTGCGCCTCCTTCAGACCCAGCAGATGGACAACAGCCTCCTCCTTCTGAGTCCTGAAGAATGAGGATGCTCAGCCAGAAAAGCTTCCCTGAAACAATCCTACCGCTCAATATGTGCTCAGCATATGACCACAGGGCTCTATTAAAATGGGGCACCAAACCTCTGTCCTCAGACATGTTCCCTATTGAGTGGGAGGTCTATGTTTCTGGAAAATACACACTGAAATATGGTGGACCCTTCCATGCTTAGGCTCCTTTATGACATGAGCTCAGCTGGACCGTTTCCACTGTTCTGAAGTCTGTCCCTGCTGTCAGAAAAAAGCACAGTGCTGTTAGCTTTTAGCTGTTGAACCTGTAAAATCCCTCTTGAGTATTTTTGTGAAGAAATAGTAAAATCCAACTGTAAAAAGCAGGCAAGACTCAGGACAGTTTGGTTTGTGGGATCTTCTGCAGGATGCACACATTTATAAATGCATCTGCTAAACCATTAGCATATTTAAAGAGTTCATGTTTAGGAACAAAATAAAGAAAATGTTTCCAGTGGAGGAAAAAGAATTCAGATATATTAAAACAGAATACATGGGTCAAAGTGTGTGTCTCTCTCTCTATCCTTATATATATATAGATATATATATATAGATGCATTTATAAATGTAAAATTTCAGAAATTTCAGTCAAAGTAAATTAGTGTATTAGCATTTTAAATTATCCAGAGAAAGCACTTAAAACACAAAGGCTCCATGAGAAAGTTAGTATAAATTAAATAATCCTATACATAATTTTTCAGGTTCCTTTGCTTTTTCTAAATTGGAGACAAATAAAACGTTCATTCAGAAACCTTTGATTCATCTAAAAAAAAAAAACAGTGAAGAAGCTAATGGGATCTGACTTAAATGAGCAGCATCAGTTTCTGACACATTAAGTTATATGTTCAGAGAAGCTCTGAAATGTGAGAGTGCAGCTGGACTAAAGTTCAGAATCCGAATCAGGTTTATTAACCAAGTATGTTTCCACACAAGGAATTTGAGCTGGTTGTGGTGAGGAATATGCAGCTTATACAAAGAATTAAGAAAAAGAAAAGAACAAAAATTAAGTGTATATCTTAATAACCAAAACAGAGACAGTATTTCAAGTTTTAAGCAGAAAGCCAGATTATTTTGAATGTTGTGAGGCTCTAGAGCTGCACCTTAAAAACCTTATGGCGGCTCATTTGGCCTCGCCTTGTGTTTCCTTTTTTGAAAAACAACTCCAACCTGAGCAAAAACACCAACAGGACCCCGTCAATATGACCCCAGAAGCTTTTGGCAGAGAAAGAATGTTACCGTTCCCTTTAAGTAAAAAATCTAACTAAGAATATACACCAAGAAAATATGAAAATGAATAAATTAATCTCCACTCCTTTATTGAAAAAGTGTGCAAACCCCTTTCTGAGGCTCCTCCAATGACAGCACGGAGAGAAAAGAGCTCTAAACACTCCAAACATGAGCTGCCTCCTCTGGACATTTCAGCTGTATAAATAAGGCCTTTTGACCAGTCTAGCTCCAAATGCCACTGTATCCAGGGACATGTAACACTCTGAACACAAATCCAAAACTGTTTTCAGTTTTCAGGCTGAAACATTTTGTTTAACAAAGAGGATTCGTTGTGACTCCATCACATTATTAGCTTTTAATATTCTGATAGTAACTTGCTGCTAATACGGTGTATTATTGAACCCAGTTTAAGGCTTCTGCCAGCCGTCCCAAATTACAGGAACATTCATTTAAAAAAAAAAAACACCCTTCCTCCTTCATGGTTAATAGGATTAGTGTGCATGTGTGGAAAAGCTCTTTGGCCCAAATTATATTTAACACTAATTGTAAATAATTGTTGTTGCAATAAAAACATTTTCAAATAATATCTTCTACAAAAAAAAAATTAAAGAACATTATTTCCTGATTCTGATCTCAGGTTCTTTTTATTTCCTGTCCTTCCTGAACCGATAGTTGATGCATTTCTGGCTGAAAATTGGGCCTAAGATCCAAACGATCTGAGAACCTGAAAACCCAGAGCTCAGTGAGAACTAAAGCTCCTCGTGAGCTAAAGCTTCTCTCAGAGACACAGGCAAAGACACACAGCGTCCCCAGTGTGTTTGGAGTCTGCTACAGAGAAACCTACTCCCACCACAGGCCGGAAAGAGGCAACAAACTGAAGACCAGAGCTGGAGAGTCTCCAGAAGGGCCGATGGAAGAAGGCTGGAAGGGAAGCAGAGCTGCTGAGAGCCTGATTGTGAGGCCTGCAGACGTCCACCAGCAGCTGGAGGAGCCAAAGAAAGTCCATGTGGGACTCAGGAGATCCAGAGGCTGATCACACAGAAGTTCAACCCAGAGCAAGAAGAGCTGGAAACTCTGAGGGGCTCAATAACCAGAGAAACCGTCAGAGAGGAGAGGAAAACACCAGGGGAAGAATGGAAGCTGCTATCAGAGCAGAGATGAAGTTTAAGTTTATTCTGAGATGACAAGGAGAGAAAAACAAGCTGGAAACAGGAAAAACTAACCAGGTTTTTTAAATGAAAGCTGACTTATAAGAACAAACTACAAGAAAAAGGACTAAATTAATTCCAAAAACACTTAAAGTCTTCACATTTCAGCTTTTTTTTTCAGGAAGAAAAAAACTGAATAACACAAAGAAACCAAGAACTGTCCTAAAAAGAGCACAAAGGGGCTGAAACGAACCCAAAAAACCCAAATTTTGTTTAAGAAAGTCTTAGAAAAACAAGCAGAGGAAGAATGGAAGTTGTTATTTAACAAAGAAAGAACTGGAAAAATGTTTGAATGAAATATTTGTACGTTTTATAATGATCCCAAACATGTCTTATTTTTGCTCTGATAAATTGGTTGAGCGTTGTAAACACAAAAAGGCTCGAACAGCAGACCTTTCTGAACGAAATGCCTTATTACAGCTCTATAAATGTGGAGCCATGAAAGCAGCCGATAAGATAAGAAGCACATGAGGAGTTTCATGGGGGCAGAGCACTGAAAACGCGTCTTTCGATCCAGGACAATGCAGACTGCGTCCCCCAGCCAGAGCTCTCTGAGCCGGCCCCCGGGGCTGCACACCGAGCCCCCCCGGCTGCTGCTGCGGGGACGCGCCGCGTGCACAGCGACCCGCGGACCGGCCGCCGCGCACCCGTTTCACACTCACCGGCTCGGTGAAAACATGAGTCCCGTTCCCTCACGACGCGCGCGGCCAGCACGAGGACGTGTTGCGTGGAGCAGACCCACAAAATGGAGCGGCTGGGAGGGAGGGGACGGAGTGGGGGGCGGGCCCGTGCGGGTCCGTGTGCGGGGAGAGGCGGGCCGTGCGCCCCGGCCTGCTGCTCCGCCAGGCTGCGTGGGGCGGGGGCGGGGGCGGGAGGGGGGGTGGGTGATTCTGACACCAGACCCGCGGGTTTTCCATCAGAAAAGTGCGGACGGACCGGGCCAGGAGCGGCTCCCTGCGCCCCGGCGGGTGCCGGGCTCATCCGGCCCCGGGTGTCAGGGGTAGGGGGCCTGTCCCAGAGCCCGTCCAGAACCCGGGCACCAGCAGGCCTCGGCTGGTGCTCCCCCCCGGCCCACTAGCGCCACCCAGCGGCCGCTCCGGGCCCCGCAGCGGGCCTGCGGGAGGCCGGGGCCTGTCGGCGGCTGCCGGGGAGGCCTCCGAGCCCGCTGCTCCGGAGCACGCCCGGGAGAACCGCCTCTCTTTTGACTCTAGACAGCACCGGAATTTTCAGAGCTCCACCGGAGCCCACGCGCGTCCGCGGGCCCCTCCAGCTCCGTGTGTGTGGGGCCACCCATCAGAGTAACGAACACAAGTGTTCCAAAGTAACCCCACTCAGCTGCTGTCTCCCGCCCCGTTAGGAGCTGCGGTGCGGGGCCCCGCGGGCCGGGAGGCCCGGGCCGGGCTGATGGGCTCCGGGCCGGGGCTGGGTTCCGGGCCTGATAGGCCCAGAACTTGCTGCAGACTTTAAAGGCCTGGGCACGCGGCAGGTGCGCGCGCGGCAGGTGCGTGAACGGAAAGGCCGCCGGTTGGAGGGAGTTTGGAGCCAGAACCAGACGCACCGAGGCCCACAAAAACTACAAGAAAAAAAAAAAAAGCTGCCCGCCATCGAAATGACAAACGATTTCCCCCCCAAAACCATCGCGCGGGCGGGGCCGCCACCCCGCGCGCCCACACCTGGAAATTAATTCCCGACGATCCGCGCAGAAGTCCGGCCGGGGGGGGCAGCCCGCAGCGGGTTCTGGGCCGGTCCGGCCGGTGGCGGCGGCCGCTCCCGGGAGAGGCTCTGCGCGCGCGCGTGTTCTGTGCGCGCGCGTGGTGCGATGCCTTTGTGATGAAACTCCATCAGAGGTTAAAAGTTAGTGTCCCTCTGGGACTCGGACTGAGCTGCTGTCCAGACTGAGGGCGCCTGCTGACCGGGGCTCCGCTGCCCCCTCCCTGCTGGGGAAGCCTCTCAGCTGGATGGAGCAGGTTTTCATCCCAGACGGGGACTGGGGGCTTTCTGCTAGAGATGGACCCCACAGGAAAACGGGCTTTTCCTCTTTAACCACAGAACAGAACCTGTTTAATCCAGATAAGTGGAGCAGATTTGACTGCTTCAGTTGGTCGAAGCTAAATAAAATCAGAAATATTCTTGACTAATTGTCTCCTTAGTCCTGGCTCCTCCATTTCCTCCTGTTTGGGTCACACACAGGCTGTTGGGACCTGGTCTGAGGCAAAACCACCTCAGCCTGGCGGGCTGAGGACCCGATGGAGGGGCGGCGGCTGTGACCCTAACCCTGGTCCCCTCAGAGGCCCCAGACCAGGAGCCTTAACTACAGAGAGGAGCTGACTGTAAGGGTTGCAGACGGGGGGGGGGGGGCTGGGTCAGTCCTCATCAGCCCTCAGCTGCTCTGGACCCGTGTCTGAGTTGTGAATGTGCGTCCTGGTGAGGTGACCCAGCACACAGGCACCACAGGTGGTGATAATAAAACATTTTTATTTGTATAGCACTTTTCTAAATACTCAAAGACACTTTACAAGGAGAGAAAGCAACGATGAAAACGTCATGGAAAAGAAATCCAAACGACTTTAAAAAGAGAAAAGACAATGCCAGAAGACTTGTGGGTGTTTCAGTGAACACCATGTTAGCGAGGTAACCTAACTACATACTGGATCCTCCTCACTTTGAGCGCTCTGGGCCGGGCTGGGCCCCCCCGGAGCCCAGACCCGCCTGCACGCCGCAGCAGTGAGACCAGCATGATTTCTTTATTCTATTCAATACAGAGAAGTAACACTGGAGGCATGTTGGAGCTGGATCAGGCCCAGGGCCAGGGCCAGAATCAGGATCAGAATCAGGCCCAGGCCCAGGATCAGGATCGGGCGCAGGATCAGGCCCAGGCCCAGGATCAGACCCAGGCCCAGGATCAGGCCCAGGGCCAGGTCCCGGCCCAGGGCCAGACCCAGGCCCAGGATCAGGGCCAGGATCAGGCCCAGCTGTGAGGCATGAGGGACAGAGTGAAGCCACAGGACATCTTTACAGCAGGTGAGAACTGCATGTGAGCTGCAGTGCTTTACAGTGAGAGGAACGCGTCCTGGAACAAGTCCTGGAACAGGTCCTGGAACAGGTCCTGGAACAGTCGGTCTGCAGCAGGCTGGGACTGAAGGCCAGGAGCCCACCAGCCACAGGGAGCCTCACCGGAGCCGTGTGGGGCTCCAGGGTGCTTCCAGGTCAGAGGTGCTGGCAGCCGGGGGCCTGAGGGACTCCTCCAAACCAGCACCACACCCCCCCCCCATGAGAGCTTCACGAGGAGAAAATAAGTTTGCTGTCTTAGGATGGAGCCCCAAAACATCTCGGAGACAAAGAAGAATTCTGTCAGGTTCACCTTGATGAATCCGTGGTGGTTCTGGGTTGGAAACACTCTTCATAAAAATAGCCTTTGTTTCATTTATTATAATGAAAAGGGTGAGAGGGAGCTATTCAGAACGGGAGGATAGATATTTCATAACTAGCGCAGGGGGGTTGGGGGGGGTTAATTCTTCTTAAGAGAACAGTTTAGGGCACAGACTCATTAACTTATATCCAGTACATGGCATAGATCATACATGAGGGTCAAGGCAACACATTGTTTAAAACCTAACTACTTAGAAATCAATCTCAACTAGTTCTCAATGGTGAGGGCCACCATTCTCACACACAATGTTCCAGAGGAATGGTGAGGGCATCCGGGCGTCCAGCAGTCCCCTGTCCTCCTGCTGGGTCGGAGCGGGTCGGGGGGGGAGGGGGGGCTTCATGTGGGGACGAGGACGACGGGGCTCCCAGGAGTCTTATTGGTTGTAGAGGGAGCGCTGCTCCCAGGGCATGGCCTGGATGCTGCGGGGCACGGGGGAAGGCTTGATTGAGGGCGCTCCGTTCGGATGAAGGGAGTGGCCAATGGGGTTGATGGTGGTGAGGGGCCGCTGGGGGGCCAGAGAGAAAGTGTCCTGGTGCTTGGGCTGCAGGGGGAGGAGGGAAAGACACAGATGGGAGGAGACAAAAGGGCAACAGTCAGTGGCAGGTGGGCTGTAGGTAAGGTCCGGCGTGGGCCCAGCGGGCCCTGGGTCCAGCGGGCCCTGGGCTGCACAGGAGGCGCTCTGTCCTACCATGGGGTTGGCGCTCAGTCTGGTGTATCCCGAGCTGATCTCCTTCACATCTGGCACCAGGGGCTGCAGCAGGGAGTAGGAGGACGGGTTGGCACTGGAGGAGGGGACGTGTTTGTTGGAGGTGGAGCTCCTCATGCTCTGCTGGCTGCTCTGGGAGGGCACCGAGCTGGGCCGGCCCTGCTGGCACACACACACACACACACACACACACACACGTGAGCCGGGGCCGGGGGGGGGGGACGCCGGCTGCCGGCCGGGCCTGCTGGCCTCCTACCTGGTGGGGGTCTGGCCCGGGCTGGCTGGCCACGCCGCCCTGCCCCCCCTGAGACATGGGAGAGACGCAGTGCGAGGGCAGGGGCTCCTGCTGGCCGTGTCCTCCGTGCGGGGGCTGCATCAGGGAGCCGCCGCTGTTCTGCTGCTGCTGCTGGCGGCGAGGGGCGGCCGAGAAGTTGCCGCGCCGGCCGCCGCTCTGGAGGGGGCAAAGACAGGAGAAGGCCTCTTCATACCCACTCTACTCACGCCAGGCATCAGACAGAAGCACAACTGGAGCTGTGACAGATGAGTGTGAGGGGACTGAGATCCAAACGGCTCTTCCTCCAGCTGCTGGTGCTGCTCAGACATAAAGGCCTTCAGCTGCGGCTTTATGCAGCACACACGTGTGATGGGATGGACTGGTCAGACTCTACAGTACACACACAGACAGACACGCCCACACGCACATTCAGGACAATAGCTGGGCTACACTTTCAGCCGTCTGGAGGACTCATGGAAACAGCAGCACAGGCTAATCTGGAGGCTCTTCCCAGGCCTAATCTGGAGTGTCTGTCCATAATCTGGAGTGTCTGTCCATAATCTGGAATTTTTGTCCAGGCCTAATCTGGAGTGTTTGTCCAGGCCTAATCTGGAGTGTTTGTCCAGGCCTAATCTGGAGTCTCTTTCCAGGCCTAATCTGGAGTGTCTGTCCATAATCTGGAGTGTTTGTCCAGGCCTAATCTGGAGTGTCTGTCCAGGCCTTTATCTGGAGTGTTTGTCCATAATCTGGAATTTTTGTCCAGGCCTAATCTGGAGTGTCTGTCCATAATCTGGCGTGTTTTTCTCCATAATCTGGAGTGTCTGTCCAGACCTAATCTGGAGTGTTTGTCCAGACCTAATCTGCAGTGCCTGTCCAGACCTAATCTGGAGTGTTTGTCCATAATCTGGAGTGTCTGTCCATAATCTGGAGTGTTTGTCCATAATCTGGAGTGTCTGTCTATAATTTGGGGTTTTTGTCCACTCCTAATCTGGAGTGTTTGTCCATAATCTGGATTGTCTGTCCAGGCCTAATCTGGAGTGTTTGTCCATAATCTGGAGTGTTTGTCCAGACCTAATCTGGAGTGTTTGTCCAGACCTAATCTGCAGTGCCTGTCCAGGCCTAAACAGCAGCACAGCCTGAGGTTCATTTTCAGCCTGGGGACCCTGACCCTGAGCTGCACACACAAACGCCAGTCAGGAACACTTCCTCATGGGGTGAAGCACAACGGGCTGCAGAGGTTTTACCGGGACAAATAGAATCCAGAAACAGCTTTGAGGTGGAAGTGAAAACAAAGGAGCACACAGTGCTGCCTGTCCCCACAGCTCATGGCTAATGAGCAGCGTCAGCACAGCTTTTGGGAGCTGGTTGGTTCAGAATGGCGTCTCGGTCCCACAGCAAAACACCAGGGACTCCAGACTGCCCTGGCTTTGTTTCCAGGCTGGGATTTGGTTTGGAATTCATCTAAGTGCATGCTGACTGGTCTAGAGACGGGCTAAAGGCTCGGTAGAACACATGCTTGGACCCAGTGTGGAACCAAAGGGACTGAGCAGTACTTGTTGTCTGGTCTGGGGCCTTCTTTCCCACCAGTGCCCACTCAGTCTGGCTCTACTGGTTGGCACCTCTCATTTCAAGCGGGCTGAGTCAGGCCAACAGCAGGCTGCTGATTGGCCAGAGTGTCACATGGCTCAATAAGCCCCGCCCAGTCTTGCCTCTGCCGCTGTCAGCAGCTGAGTCCTGCAGGGAAAAGTGGAGGGGTAGCAGTCTCCTCCTATAACTCACAACAGAGAGCTTTAAAGGGGACGACTACCTGTCATCACTCAGGTAGAAGAGAAGAGGAAATTGGGAGCAACTCCAGGTTTCTGTCAGCTCTGGATCCATGCCGGACACGCCACTGCCAGCTGTCTCTATTACAGCCAGGAAACAAGCTGGTGCGTCGGGATCAAAAGAGGATTCCCTTTGTGTCTCTATGGATGTCAGACCCTTTTTTGACCAGCTCGTTAGCATTAACTGGAGCCCGCCAGAGTTACAGGACGGCTTTGGTTGGAGTTGTATCAGCTCATTTGGTGTTTTAATGGCTTGATCCAATGGCTTTTTCTACTTAAAATATCCTAAGATGGTGTAGACTAGGGATGTCCCAATCCATCTTTTTTCACTTCCGATCCGATATTGTATTTGTTCTTCCGATCCGATCCCAGCCTATCAGAGCTTGTATTCAAATTTAAAGTTATTTAGCCAACTTACTTAGTTGTCAGACTCATATTGAACAGGGATTTACTCTTATAACAACTAGCCAGCTGAATTAGGGGAGTCTGAATAATAGATACTGGTTGGTAAAGAGACACTGGCCTGTTTAATCAGGGAGAAACACAAAATGGGATCAAATAATCCCACACAACTGACTTTTTTTAACCGATAGCTTCAAATTTACATCGCCGTCTTAATGGTTAGGACACAGGCCTGTGGGTAGGAGATGCTAATCCTCGTGTTCTTAAGGGTGTGTTGGAAAATGACCGGATATCAGGGAACAACACAGCAAAGTGGAATGGATTATTTTAATCGGTGCACTGGAAAACGGGTCTGACTTTTTTTCTTTTTTTAAAAAACTGGATCTGGAGTCTGGATCTCCATTTTATCCTGCTGGCCAATCTGATCCAGATATCGGATCAGGACAAGCCTAGTGTAGACTATTCCAATCTGAACAACTGTAACTTTCCAACAGAGTAGGTCTGAAGAGTGGGTCTGAGGAAAAGCCCAGGTTTGTCCTGAACACCCATCAGTACCTTTTGCATGGCACACAAGAGCCTGTCAGAGCTCATGCTATCACCACACATGGATGTTTATGTGTGCACGTCTAGTTCAAACCCAAAAGATACGACACCAAATGATTTACTGAACGGATGGGCTGTATGGTGTAAAAGGAAAAGGCCTCAAAATTTCTTGATTGATAGGGGCCACAGCAGTCGGCCCTGTTCTTAACACTTCCTGCTGTCATCATTCTGGTCCAAACAGTCTACAAATGTATCCTCTTGACTGGCCAGTGGGCCACAGAGGCCCCTTTAACCGGCTGTCCTTCCTGGATAAGATAGACACCTGAAGCCGATGGACTCATAGAGGCAGGCTCACACTTATGTCTCTTTGCTGACTTTTAGCTCCAGTCTCCCGTCTTCTCCTGGGGCTTGTTCATCAACCTGCTGTCTGTGAGGCCCAGACAACAAACCCAAACATGAGAGACGACCCTCCCAGCGTGGCGACGCGAGCTGGACTTCTCATGGAAAGACACAACAGCTGTGAATGGAGCCGCTGGAGGACCAGTTCTGTATTTTCACTTCCAAAACAAGAATCTGGCTACACTGGAGAACCTATTGTGTGCACTCAAAGTCCAGGCTGAGCGTGACGATAATGGCCTTCAGGAACCAAACCAGCTCTGAGGAGATGCTCCTTTCCTTTCAGCTGTCCTACAGGACCACCATGTGTCTGTCAGCTCCACTGACACCTGAGCAGCCTCAATGCAGCCTCCATCATCTAAGCTGACACTGACCTCCTCACGGCTACTTCTGCCTAACCAACACACACACACACACACACACACACACACGCACGCTCACACCAACCTGGTTTTTGGCCGCGGCGCTGCAGCGGTGCTGGGCCAGGTCCAGCATGGTTCGGTAGCTCTTAAAGCAGGACGGGCAGTTGAACCGGTTCTTATGAACCAACCCCACACACACACACACACACACACACAAACAAATACACACGCACACACACAAAAGTTTGGATTACTGAACTGTTCCGGAAAGTCTGCTGCACTGCTCCTGATCCTGTCCCTAAACTGGACCTAACCCTGGTCTAACCCTATCTGAGCAGCACACATTCAGGAAGGACACTTGTGGAAACTGAGGCTGGAAAAAGAACAAAAAGGTCAAGAAAGCATGCTGCATCACTTTACATGCACAGACTGGAACCTTTATCTTCTAACCATGCAGAAAGCATCCACTCATGCAGTGTGTGCAGCCCGGGCGGGGGTGGTAATGTTTAGCTGTCATAGTAAAGGCTTTGAGTATCAGACTGGGAAAAGACCTACTACCACTTCTTCTCATTCAGTTAGAACAAAATAAAAATAAATTAATCAAAAACTGACAGGAAACAGTTTCATCCAACAGTTGAACATTCCGACTTTGGAATTTTTGTTTTTTTCTCTGATGAAGTAGAGGAAAAATAAAAGCCCTGGCATAAGGGAGCTGCTGGCAGAAAGCATGAGGACTGTAAACCTCCATGATAAGGCCAGCTCAGTGGAGGCTGTTTGGGTCTGAAACAACCAGAATAGGAGGTGTAAGAAGAATAGACTTTCCCCCATTGCAAAGCACTCCAATTGGTTTTTAATAAACTATCTTCTCATTTCACATACATCCATAACTATAGTCTTAAAGCCCCTCTGAGAAGAAGTCTGCGGATCTACCCGCAGGTGGACACATCAAAACTGCTTTGACTGACACCACAAGGCCATCCCCTGCTTCACAGACCACACCAGACAGGTTTGTGTGTGCACTGGATGACTGGTTAGGACCAGGAGCGGTTCAAAGATCACGTAGGCTGCCTACGTTTTGAGTGACTTTGAAGAGATGCAAGCAGTGGAATGAATGGAGGAAGGGGGAGACTTCACAGCACTGCTGTCCTCAGAGCAGGTTCTGGTCACAGGGACCAGAGTGGGGCCTTGTGGTGCACCCACAGGGAGATGCAGTAGCTTCAAACACCAGAGAACTGGGTCCTCTATCAGCTTCAAGCTGTGCATTAGTGCTGGACAGGGCCTGTGCTGACAGCAAAGCACCCAGGTCACAGCGTTTTGCTCCTCTAGGTGTCTCAGCCCCAGCCAAACAGCTCCTCAGACAGGCTGTTGAGTCCCAGAGGCGCTCCTGAAAAACACTTCTGGGTGTGCAGGCTGCAACAGGAAAGCGTTGCAGGAGGCACTTGGGCCTCATTTCCTGCCATGGCAGTGAATGCCTGATGCTCGCTGAGTAGCTGAAGGGAAGCAGTGATGAAATGAGGGCAGCCACTGAGGTGGAAATGAGTTTAGTTTGCAAAGGTATCAGCCAACTGTACATGTGTCAGATTTGAACATTAAATCTGAATATAGCAGAAATCCAAACCCATCCTGTCACTGAGGATGTGTGAGGATGAACACTGTCCAACCACACGATTGAGCAAGGATCTGAACCCTTGTTTCACTCAGTGGCACGCTCATTTCCAGCAGCCTAAGCTGCCAGCTTCTCACAGCCCTGTTCCAAACACAGCGCTGGCTGGGTTTGAACACTGCAGACAGTAGAGACTAGAGCAGCCAGGGGGTCTGCAGCTATGAATCCTCCCCTCTTAACACAGAAGACGCAGGCCCTTACAGCTGAGCTGAGGGGCCAGCAGCCACAGGCTGCACACTCAGGCCCCCAGCAGCCCTCACAGGAACACACCTGATTGGACGCTGCGGCGCTGCAGCGGTGCTGGGCCAGCTCCAGCATGGTTCTGTAGCTCTTACAGCAGGAGGGGCAGTCAAAGCGGTTGGGCCCATCATCGTGGATCCTCTGGTGGTTGCGGAGGTAGCGTGCCAGGCGGAAGGCCTTCCCGCACAGGTCACACATGTAGCGCTTCTGACCATGAATCCGCATGTGGTTGCGCAGGGACATGTAGTTGGTGTAGGGCTTGCTGCAGAAGTCACACCTGGACAGGAGCTGGAGGTCAGAGAACAGCCAACACAGGCTTCTGGACGGGACACAGCCCCACCAGCCTTACCTGAAGTCTCCAGTCTTGTGGGTGAGCTTGTGGTTCAGTAGCGAGCTGGCGTGCTTGTAGGCACAGCTGCACAGGTCACACACATATGGCCTCTCGTCCGAGTCCATGTCATCCGCTGTGGCTGTTGTTGCTGATGGCGGCGGCGGCGGCGGGGCCGGTGCTGGTGCTTGGGATTCCATGGAGAGGCTGGAGGTAGAGAGAGACGCTGAGGACAGACTGGAGCTAGACAGGGCAGCAGAGGAGGAGGGCAGCTGATCGCACCAGCTGATGGTTGAACTTGGCTGTGGGAGAAGAAGGGAAAGACAAAGGGAAGACTTGAAAGCTGCTGACAGTGAGAGAAAAAGCAAGACACCCACACAAACACCTACAAACGCACACACGTTAAAACTGTGTCTATGGACTAAAGGGGAGCTTCTTTGAGGCATGGGCCCAAACAAGCCCTCCCTCTACCACTCTTCCCTCTATCTCTACACTGTCTGCACTGGTGCCTCTAACAGAGTCTGGTTGCTGATTTCCTTCTATGCTATTCTATTATTGGTCCAACTATGATAAAGAAATGATGACCAATTTTATTATGCAACTAAACATTAACCTATGGCTTTTAATAGCATCCCAAAGCCTAAATTGCATAAAGGGTAAGAGATAAAACCATGTCCAGGGCAGAGATGGCAGGACACCACATGCTCTGTTTTCAAGTGTTCAGGAGCTATGGAAGGGATGGAAGAAACAGGTGTATGTTACTGCCCACTGGGACCACAGAAGCACCACCACAGGACAACAGACTCACACACCAGCCTCTGAACACTACTACAAATGTCCCTGCTGTTGGATATTCAACATCTGCAGGAAAAAATAACCATCATCTGAGTCAGAGAAGAATTGCAAACAGATTTCGCAACCACGCCAGAGCAGAAGCAAGGTTATGTAAAAGCAGCCAGGTCAAAATAGCGGGAAACATTTGGGCGTAGGGAGAATAAAGTTGTTGTCGGAGCAGGAATCGTGACCATGGATGAGCCGCACAGGCTGCCATCACAAAGGGGTCTTTCAAAGTGCCCCGCGGGGCGTCTTCCGCTAACGTTTCCTGTCGGCCAGCCTGCTCCTGTTTACTTTGCGCTGTAAGCTAACAATATCAAAGGCCTTGGGCATCAGCTGTCCGCTTTCCGTGCCATGCACATCACCCAGAACCACGTTCAATACACCACTTAGTCACGAGAAACTAGTCTGCCGTTTTAAGGCTGAATTATTCTGCACAGGCTTCTGTTATTAGCTAACGGTACCCATTTGGCTAGCCAGTGTTGTCCGCCGTGCGCTTAAGCTAACGGCTGCAGACCCTCTGATCCATTACCGTTACATTCATAAAAATGTACGTTTCATGTACTTTTGCAACAACACTTCCATTTGGTTCTTTACATACATTTAATTCCCCAAAGGGGTCGGTGGCGGTATAACATGGACTAAATACCGGAAAATACAAGCCCCTCAGCTACAGCGGCAGCTAATAGTACAACTAGGCCGGGCGCTGCTTAGCATGATTGGTAGATTAGCCGGATGCTTTCAGCGCTGTTTGCATTTAGCTCACAGCCGGAGATCACTCCGTGTTACCGAGCAGCAAACGCCACAGCGGGCCTCTGTGCGTAATAAACAGGCTTCAGTTGGTGCTTGGTGAGGAGCATGGTGCCCCACTGGCCGCTTGCTGCCTTCGTTTGCTGGCTGAGCTCGCTAGCTATTGGGGGTTTTCTTACTCCGGAGTCGTTGGGGTCCTTTTTCCAGAACAATTGGGAGCAGTGGCCAAAAGACTCTGACGATGACACGTAGTTTACTCCGTTTCTGTCTTGAAAGTCTCCATGTGTGCTGCTTGCATTCGTCCTGGCATACATGGTCGCTATCAGTATTAATTGACTTTTTGACTGAAAAGAAACAGGGCCGCTTTGTGGGGATCTTCTTCCGAAAAGCAAAATATTTCTTCTGTGAGATGAACATTTTGGCGGCGGACACAGCACAGACTGAAGGGCACTACCGCCACCTGCAGGACTGGAGTGTAACAACACGAAGGGAAGGCCGGTGCGGCTTTTTCTCCACACCTGCAAATGTTTGAGCATCTATGTTTTATCTGGCCATTTTTTTATGATTTCAATTTACATACATTCTTTCACAATATAGCATGAAGATTCTCAGTCCTCCAGCTCATGGTCTAGCTATAGCTGATTATTATTCATTGAAAAACAACAACATTTTTTACTTTCAGCTCTGTGTCCAAGCTGACAAAGAGCCTGAACCCTCTTCAACCATCAATTTCTTTAAATCCCGTTAGTGATGATTTTGTGAGCTTTTTCAACAATAGAATAGTATCTATTACAGAGTTTTGCCCTTCTAGGAATAGGCTACATTTAATTCGTTATCCCTGCTGCTATCACCCTGCTCAATTCCAGGGCCACGCCATGAGGACTTCACTTTTATGTGTTTTTATGTCTTTAAAGCTGTCTGCACAACAAATTGCCCCTTGGGGATTATAGAGTTTACTTGAACTTGAAGTAACCTGTATTGTGAAAAGCCAGAATATCCCATAGTTCTGCTGGGGCGCTCCCATGATGCACCTCTCCTCCCTCCATAGGTCCAGACTGCTGGGGGCTCCCATGATGACAACATAGAGACGATAAGAGGACCACTGGCAGGTCAATGCTGATCTTTTTTACCATTATGTAAGTGCACACCAGAGACATGAAACATATTGTTGGAAAAACACCAGCACTGATTTTGTCATGCCAAGCTGAATAGATTTTATTTACACAGTCCTAAATCCACAGAGTGTACACAAGTGACAGAAGTGAACTTGCACAATGCTTAATACAGACATTTCATATTTTGCCTTTTACAGTTGAGCTTTGCTTCTAAATCTGCCCATATTGTGTCAAAATCCTACAACAGGGTGTTTAATAAGTATGTTCATATAAAACAGCAAACACCGATTCTGTACAACATTTACAATGTGTTGAACCACAAATACAGTGACACAGCAAATGTTTCTATAGTAGGACTGATAGTCTAAAACAAAACGACATCTGGTGAAACTGCTTAGATATATTTGTAATACTTTGCATTCAGGAGAATGACAATCAAGCAAAACTATCCCACTTTTCAATAATATAAACTTGTTGTGATAGTCAAACACTGCATTTCTCACTAACTACTGTTGAACACCTTTTCATTTCTATGATTAGCTCATATCTTTGTGGCATAATGAGAACAACTAAAGGTTTAATTCAGTGTAACTGTGGTGTGGGTAACAACACGAGCAGGATGAGGTGTTTTTCCTCTGCGTTTCCGTGACTGGTGGAGTGTCTGCTACACTTCATCCTTAACAAAGAGGAACACCACATGTTACATTCACTTCTATTTTTCCGGCAACTCATCTAAATGAGTGAAAGAACGTATCGTTTATACAGTTTAACTGTAAATAGTTATATTCATACCCGTGGTGAACACTAAGATGGAACAAATACAAATCAACTAATTTCTTACTACATTCACACTACAAACGTCTCAGTGCTCGTTTGCTTCCATTCATATGTGTTTCTAGTTTGGCACCATGAGCCCTGTTCAGCATGGCACCATGAGCCCCGGGGTGGGCATCTGGCTACGAGGGTGGTGGTGTTGGAGGTCCCTGCCTGCTTATGCTACCTTTTCACTGGGCATACTCAGAGTGGGACGCCACTGAAAGGCCATAACTTTTCACAACCATTCATTAATGAGGCAGACATGTAAGCACTGAACAAAACTATCATGTCCTCCAAAAAGTGTCCCAGCATGAAATAGTGAGATTTGGCACATGGTCTTTGAATAGCTATTTTCAAATAAAACATGAAACCCTGCTTTTCAAACAGCACTGAATCTAAAGGCTCATCCACAGTTGCTTATACTTTCATCTGAATAAATATCAGAAGTCAGCACGATGCAAAGAACGTTTCTTGGATTGTTACCAAATGGAGGGTGAAAAACAGCCACAAGTCTCCTAAAAGTCCCAGTATTTTCAGCCATTCACTGCGCAACACTGGGAATTCTCCTAAAGTCTCCAGCACTTCCTCATGCTGACCATGTTTTGGAGACATGTTCCCAGCAACACAAACTTCTCTACTGACAGTGATTTTGGATTTGTTTTGCTTTGTTTCTATAGCTTGTATCAACTAACCGCACTTTATTGGTAAATCATCAGTTTTTACTGTGAAGCAGTGAGAAAGTGTAGCTGTTGCAGTTCTCAAATATTTCTGCAAAATGTTTTCTGCATCTTTTGGCAGCAGATTCAGTTACAATGTTACAGAGCGGAGCGCTTGTCCACACTGCTGCATGAGAGGGATGTCGCTCACTCAGCCAGCAGCGCAAAACACCAGCTTCTGACTGTCAAAACCAGGGCTGACACGTTCCTGACCATTACCAAGAGCACCAGGAACTGTGGATCCTTTGCATTTCAGTTATTTAACGATAAGCTGTAAGACATGGCAGAATAGCAAACACACTAATACAACAGCTGCTCATGTGTGGGTACAGGTGGATTAGGTTTTAATCTCCAGGATGGAGGGATTGTGGTCGAGAATGGCCAGGATGATTTTGTCCATGTACTGCCTCAGACGCAGGTTGATCTCCTCCTGCTCCTTCAGGGCATCGACCAGCTGAAAGAGAGGAATGAGTGACAGTGAGCTCAGCCCTCTAAAGCCACCCTCCACCCACTGCTGATGCAGCTACCTCGTCTCTGGAGGCGTTGTCGATCTCAGCTGCTAAGCACTGGGCCTTGCTTTGACAGCCAAATAGGCTCTTAGCCTCGTACAAACTGAGGCTGAGGATCTGAGCGTTCAGGTCATCGTTCTGGTCCCGTAGCTTGAAGTTCTCCTGAGGCAGCACAGACAAGATTTGCTCTCAGTAAATCCTGGAAGACCTTAACAACATAATGAATGGAGGAAGACAACTGGGAGCAAATATTCAAGGCTGTCAGAAGCAGGTAACCAAATGGGAATCGTAGTTGGTTCAATAGAGATTTTGGATAAAAAAAAAACACAAAAAAAGAAAGCCTAAACACAGGTGCATGTATGCACTCAGTGTAGACAAAACTGAGAATTTCAAGGCTTTAAATGACAGCGGGGAGTCAGCTTTATTGTCAATTCTATATGTTTATGCGTATGCATTTATCAGATGCTTTTTTTCAAAGTGACTTACAAAGTAGAGACAATCTTACAGTTATCATCAATATGACAATAAGTTCTCTAGAGCAAAATCCCTAGTCAGAATCAGTGGTGACAGCAAGAGAGAGAGAAGGAGGCACAGAAAGAGTAGTAGGGGGTACAGAGGTATGGGTAAGAGTCAGGATAAGAGATGCTCTTTGAAGGTCTTTAAGAGTTTCCTTAAGATAGAAAGGGACGCTGCTGTTCTTGTAGTGCTTGGTAGGTCATTCCACCTATATTACACACTTGGACATATTCAGAATAGAAAATTGTACTCTCCTGCTCCCAGACAACACAGTAAAAAGTAGAAATAAAAGTAAGAGAAATTAAGAGTATAAGTGGAAGATAAAAAATATATGCTCATGTGCAAGAAACAAACAAGCAAAAGCCAAAAGAGTAAACTAGGTATAAATATAATACAAATAAGAGAGAGCAGACTGTGGATGCTGTCCAGTGTAAAGGAACAGAGCAGTATGGAACAGTAGCGTTTCAGTGTAACAAAGTCTTCAAAGATGCTGTACCTGTTTCAGCCTCCTGACCTCATACTCCATTTCTATCTCCCTTGTCTTGGCGTTGTACTCCGACAGCCCCTTGCCTTTCCCAGGATGCTCCATTTCCAACTTGAACAACTGCAGGTATTCCAGCTCCCGGCGGAGATCGTCAATCAGCTGCAGAGACAACACGCAGCCTGTAGAGCAGAGTCCCACTCCCACTCACCGCCGGAGCTCAGGGGGCCTCACCTCCTGCATGGATTCCTTCTCCTTCTGAAACTCATGGCGGTTCTGCCACAGCTTGTCCATGATCTTCCTGTACAGGTCCATCTCGTCTTTCAGCCTCACGCTGGTGTCCTCCAGCTTGTCTGTCATTCTCTGCTTGTCCTGCAGAGGGAAGCGGAGAAGTGAGGGCTGCTCTGACATGAACAAGGCCCCCGTGCTCAGCCTGGGAAAACCTCTCTGAGCCTCCTCATTCAGCAGTGTCTTGACAAAATATCATGAAACCACAAATATGTAATAAATTGATAAAATGTGGAAATAATGGAATAGTGGAAATAATTTGGAGATCATGTGAATCAGAGCACAGCATCACACACTTCAGCTTTAAATGTTTAGTGAAGCTTCTTAAAGAGTTTCTTCCTTACATTCAACCCGCATGTTGGCGAGGCAGCATGCCCTCACATGCCGTTTGAGCAAAGCCTATGTGTTGGTACAACCGCGTATGTGGAAGAACTAGTTTGATTAGAAATCTTTGTTTTGTTTCTTCACATCTAACAATCCCAATGCTTCCATACAAAGGAGTAGATCACATGTAACCAGCTCTGAGCACATGGCTTCAGCAGAGCAAAGAGAGCTAATTGTTTCATGGTATGATAACAGGCCATGTGCACAGATCCCAAAATGCAGGGAGGAAGTGGGGACCCAGGGTCAGATTGTTTTCTGAATGCAGCGTCACACCACAGACATTTTGTTCCCCAACAACATGAGCCAAAGCTGAGCCCCACTCACCTGGTCAAGTTTCTCTGTCTGAGACTTGAGTCTGCACACGTTTAGCGTCATCTCTCCGTTCTCCTCCTCCAGCTGCTGCACCCTGTGGATGAGTGTGTTGGATCAATGCCTTTAAAACAGCTGCTTCAAGCGTGAAAAAGAGCACATGAAGGGAAAACTACTTTCAAGAGGCAGTGTGAGATCAGAAGGACTGAGGAGGTTAAACAAATCACTGATTAAACCACCCCACCAGCTCGACCGATACTAATGGACCCGGTTTGAAGTCCACTGTAGATCACAAGGATCCCAAAATGAACTAGTTCCAATTAACTTGTGGTTTTCTTGCTTTTGGCTGGGAGATGCAGGTAGAGTTAGGAAGAAAAGCTTGTTGCTGAGAGGCTGAGAGGTGGGAAAGTAAGGATTTGTCCAGTGGAGGAAGGACCCAGAGGATGTGCTGCAAAGTACGCTGCCTCATTGTTCAGGGAGCTGGTGTAAGTGGGCAGAATGAGGAAAATAGTGAAGGATGAGTGGATCTGGTGGATCTGGATCAGGGGAGGCAATGTTCTGCCTCCAGCTCCTGCTCCCTCTACGTTACTCCCTGACCGGGGTAGGGTTTGAACCGCATTCCTGGTTACTTGTTTCCTTCCTCAGCCCTGGTTCTTAATCCACACGGTCCTGCATGATTTCCAGGTTCCTGGGACAGCTCTCGGAGCTCTGCAGAAGGCTGATGAAGACCTAGGCATTTGAACCAGGTGTGCTGCGATGACTTGATGCATGACTTTGCCTATGAGACCCCCTCATATAAGTCAGTTGTTAGCAGTGTTGCTGTTTGTTTCCCCAGTGTGACTGCTGGCGGCTTTACCTGTTGCAGAGCAGTTCTATCTCCGTGTTCCTGTCTCTCTCCACTTTGCTGTAAGCCTCCCGGTACCGCTTCATTTCCTCTTCCACTCCCTCCACAGCCTTTGTCTCTGCATCCCTCACCTGCTCCTCCAGCTCATGCACCCTGGAAGGCAACCAGGGAGGGGTGGAGCAACATTTTGGACATGGCTCCATAACAGTGCTCAGATCAAGTTACAGGAAGAAAATTAAAGTTATCCCCAGCATCAAAAACAATGTGATTCCCAATATTTTCACACCAAGTATTTTGGGGTTCTGTACACTTACGTAACTGAATATGATTCAGTGTTTGTGGAGGGCTATGTTTGATTGGTATGCTCAGTATGATAGTAATTCAGCTTTCCTACCTGTGAACAAGATGGGTGTTCTCCTGTTTGAGCTTCAGCTTGAGGTCCCCATTGGCCAGACTGTCACTCTCCAACTCTGTCACCTTCTTTTCCAAGTAAGTGACCTGAGCCAGACCATCAGGGTTTTCACTCAAATGGTCCCAAATAGATTCCACATACCATTAGGCGGATGTATAGACAGTCACAATTAATATTATATGCTTATTATGTATACTGAGGATTTATAAAAATAATTCCAGCAAAGATATTTGCAATCCATCCATTTTCTATACCACTTATTCCCAGTAGGGTCACAGGTGGCTGGAGCCTGTCCCATCTGACAACAGGCCAGAGGCAGGTCCAGCCTGCGTAACATGTGGATGTTTGTGTAACATGTGGATGTGTGTGTAACATGT